ATTTAATTATTAGGTAATCAATACACTAATTACTTTAAAATTACAAAAATCATTTTAAATTTTTTAATTACTTGCAGTTGACCATATAATGTGTTGACTATTTAATGTGAGTAGATGTTATTGTTGTGGTTACATTTAAATTAACTTCTTTCGGAAAATAAAAAACATATTTGAAATTCCTAAATAAATCCTCCCTATATATAATTCCCGAATGCGCTGAGCCTACGTGGCTGATTCTGGTGCTTCGTAATCCTACTTGGCGCAGAATCATGTTTCGTAATTAGGTTTGGACAAATAATATTGATATATTAATAATTAATAATCTAGGTTCGGACATTCCATAAATATTATTTATCTAACTTAGGTATTTTAATATCACTTTTACTAATATAACCCTTTAATTATTTGTAATTTTATAAAGTGAGACACTAAGTGACTAATATATCACTGACTTTGATTTGTTTCCTTCAATTAGCTATTAAATTATAAATGTATTTTAAAAGTTAATAACTTTTGTATTTTTTATCGGTTTTACATATATTATATATCAAATTAATCATCTTTTGATGATCTTCGATTTGACATCCATATTGTATATATGAAATAAATAAATTATATTTATCTTTATAATAACAAAGAATAATAATATTTATTAAAATTCAATAGAAAAATAAAATTATTTATCAATTGATATATTTATTTTTAATGTAATAATATGTTGTAAGTTAAAAAATTATTATAATATAACACAGATAAGTCGCACAAATAAAAAGTGTCATACTAAATATATATATATATATGTAAAAGGTATTTAAAATTCCAACTACTTTTTCTCATTAATTTTAGATTTTAAGAAAAAAATTACCAAGCACCCGTGTAATACACGGGTGTTGTACTAGTAATATGTAATTCACAAAAAAAGATACATACCAAAATATACATTATATCCAATATGATAAACGCAATTTAAACAATTTAAATATTTCAGCTCCTTTAATTGTAAACTTAACAAAAATTATTAATCATTATATGTATACAAATAACTCATAATATTTTATTTAGATGTTTGTGCAAATGCACAGGTTGAATACTAGTAAATCTTTACAATTGATGTATTCCATTCTTTTTTTTTTTTTTTTNNNTTTTTTTTTTCCTTTTATGTATCCAAAATATTCAGCCAAAATTAGTCTATCCAATACAACCAAGCATATTCTTATACTCTAGTCTTGGCCCAAAAATTATACTTGAAATAATACTGTATAGCATAGTTCAATTTATATTGGAAGGCCTCTTTGGGAAAATTGATCGAATTTTACCGGCCCATCCAGTATTGGGCTTTATAATATTCTTTTTTTTTTTAAATCATTTTAAAGAAAAGCTTAGTACTGGATACAAAACTTATCCAAAAAATCCAAACATTTTTAACTCAACTACTTTTTTTTTTAACTCAACTTTAACAAAACTTCATTATCATTAATATTATTAATATAATTAAATAATATCAACCAATAATTTAACACATCACATCAACCTTAATTCACTATTCATCCACTCACATAATTTTAACTAATCATCACTTTAAATCATCTCTCTCATACTTTTATATTAAATCAACTTTAATTATTATATTTTAAATATTATTTTAATATACCCACTAACAACTAAGAACTAACCATACCACCTTTTTCAAAATTAACCAAACTAAACCAAAAAATCCAAACAAATCTAAAAAATTTTATATCCAAGCATCTAGAGCTTGTTTGTTCATATATTTTTCCCCAAAACAATCCTATTCAAACTCAAATCTAACTCAATCTCCACTATCCTCAATATTTTCAATACAATTAAGTACCTATTAACTATAATTACAAATCAAATGAATTTTAATTCATTATTCATCTAGTCACAAAATCTAAATTGTCTATCACATCCAGTCATTTTTTATCATATTTTTACGTCAAATCAATTTAAATAATTTAACTTTAATATTATTTTAATATAAATTCAAAATCTCACTCAAACTTAACTCAACGAACTTTTTTAAAATTAACTGTGGTTAACCAAAAAAACCAATCGAAACCAAAAATATTTATAAACAAACATGCCCTTATTGTTTGCATTATGACATGATAATACTTTCATCTGTTATTGTTTGAGTGGTATGTAAATAAACTTAAATCTTAAATGACATTGATATATATAAATAAAAGCAACTAAAGTCATCTCAATGCAAGGGACTGAATCTTTACTCTATTCAAGAATAAAATGCATCTCCATTGTTCGAGTCAATTGACACTACAAGAAATTGTCCAAATGCCAACACAAATTACCAACGGAAATATTTTTGTTGGGAATTACCAACGGATTACCAACGGATTAACAATGTATTATATATACAATTTTTTAAAACAGATTACCAATAGAATACTAACAAATTTTGCATTAAAAATAAATTTCTTTTTATTCTGTTAGCAAATTATATTAACAACGGAGTATTTCGTTTGCAAATAGCAACGATTTCATTCCGTTGGGAAATACCAACAAAATTGCAACAAAAATCTTCATAATAGTAATAACAACGGAAATTTCCGTTGCTAAATAGCAACGAAATAATTTCGTTGCTATTTGTCAACGGGATAGCAACAACATTAAACCGGAAAATAAAAAACCAAATGAAAAACACTCTTAGCAACGAATATTTCCGTAGCTAATTAGCAACGAAATAACTTGTTGCTAATTACCAACAGATTCGCAATAGAATGAAAATTAATAAATAAGGCAACGCCAAATAAAAAAAAAAGAACTCTTAGTAACAAAACAATCTGTCACTAAATAGCAACGGATATTGCTATTTAGCAACAGAATAGCAACGGAAAATAAAAAACCAAAACCCAGGAAAATGAGCACTCTTACCAACAGATTATCTGTTGGTAAATGCCTTATATTTGCTGCTATTTAGAAACGGATTGGCAACAACTGTTAAAGCTAAATAAAAGAAAAAAAAACCCTTGACTTTCATAGTCGGGAAAGCCAAAAGAAAAACCCTTGACCTTCATTCCCTCCTCCTCGCTCCCGCGCCCCGCCTCGTCTTCGCGCGCTGCTTCCATCGTCAGTCTCCGTGTAGGCCCCGCGCCCGTACGTCCGTCCTCTGTTAAGGCTCTTCTCTTACTGCGAGTCGTCTCTCTTGCCACTTCGAACTGGTAAAGCCGCCATTTTCTTACTGATTATTGTTGTTGTTTTCTTTGGTTATATCTTGTAATTACTCGCCGGTAGGTTCATAGTTTTGTTTACTATTACATGATGATTTCAATTTTGAGTCTCTTTTATGTGAAAATTAGCCATTATCCCACAATGTTTGTGTGTGTGTGAATACTCGGTGTTGGTTCTGTTAATGCTCGTGTAGAGATTTAAGAGGAACAAAAATGAATTTATGGTGGGTTAGTCTCTGATTTTCCAATTGAGAAAGCTCATTAACAGATGGGTTAGTCTCTGATTTTCATTTCTGACTCATATTCCTGAGCTCTAAATGTAGTACATCTGTAATTCAGTTCTAGTTTTAAGTTCGTATTTGATAGATGTAAGAGTGCTTAAGGTTCAATACGATTTAGATCTCGAGTTTTAAGAAAATTGTTGAATTGATGAGCTTTGTGATGTTAGGCTCTCAGTCTTGGTGATTGGCTGCTCCTTTTGAGAAGACCTATAAAAATTATTGAATACTTGAATTGATGAGCTTTGTTATGTTGGACTCTCATTCTTGGTGATTTGCTGCTCCTTTTTAGAAGACCTATAGCCTCTGAATCTTCATGGTATTTTTTCATGAGTTATTAGCTCTTATTTGATGTTGGGAGACTATTGTTTTAATGAAATATCAAACATTAAGTTTTAGTTTTAACTATGTTTTTCAATAACATCAGTTTTTATATGCCTTGATGATCTTAGTTTTTTAGTATGTTGGATGGAGCTTCCTCATCCTAAAGGTTAGCATGTGTTAGTTCTGTATGGACTTTGAATGTTAAAGAACAGGAACTTAATAATGTAAAAAGTCTTGAAACAGAACCATTGGTAGTTTTTTTCCTAAGAGATAGCCACACCTGTATGAGAACTTCGTTAACCCACAAAAACCGAGATAAACTTCAACTAAAAGCTTAAGTGAGCATAAAGAAACAAGAGAACATCTAGAATTCGAATTATGGAGAAAGAATTCTCTTCGCCCATCTCACAATTTAATTGTCATCTCTTCCTTTTTTACATTATTAATTTGCTCTTTTATTTTTTATTGAGCTCAAAAGTGACTTTTTCTTTTTCTTATCTGTTACCAATATGATGGGACTAAATAAATTGAGATTTCTTTTCCTGACTGTAACTTTGAGGATAGGGGAATATCGTTATTGTTGTTTCTTTTGCATTAATCTTACCCAGTATTTATTAGTTATAATAAAAAATATAGAGATGAGGAAGTCTGTGACATGGAAAATAATTCCTAGACTAAGACAACAATTATTTATTGGATTTGCATAATATTATCTCTGTTTAATATAATATCCATGACCTTCTTGAAATATATTGGATTTGAAACCCACTTTCTGGAATAATATTTGCATATTACTATGAAGGCTATCTTTGGTAGCTTGAGTTGTAGTCATTTCCTCTTTCATTTTTTTGTTCGCCCAATTTTTGTGCCTATTTATGAAATAGTACTTCAAGAAATGTTTCACTTTGTTGCTAATCTCTGCTTGTGTCAACTTTGTTCCCCATTTGTAATAGATATTCTTTAAGAAATTGCTAATGATGTCATGTTTTTGTTAAATATATGATTACTCTATTTGGTTGTCTTTGACTTATAAAACCCTCTAGTTTTCAAATATCATTTTACACCAATTCTTTTCTTGAACAATAGGTGAAATATAAAAATGAACGAAGAACGTTTGTGGATGTATAATCGATTTAAAAATGGGGCTTTAACGAGTGAATTCTTAGAAGGATTAGAGTCCTTTATTCACTTTGCTTGCACTCAAGTAGAATGGATGGATGAGGATAAAATCCGTTGTCCTTGCACCAAGTGTCATAATCGCAAGTATCTTAAAACTGACGAAGTTAAGTACCACCTTGCGCGATATGGCTTTGTACCAGATTACTATATCTGGGATAGACATGGAGAGTCATACATTAATACAAATGATCGTCCATCTCCCTATTGTGGTGGAAATGTAGAAACAACAACAAATTACCACACAATGGTTATGGATGCCGCTGGGCCTGAATTTCATCTAGATTTTGAAGAACCTCCAAATCCTGATTCAAAAAGATTTTACGACATGTTAAATGCTGTTGACAAAGAGTTATGGCCCGGTTGCACAACACACTCGCAATTATCATTTGTTGCTCGAGCTATGCACATGAAAGCCGAGCATCACATGTCTGAACGAAACTATGATGACATGATGCAACTTGTTAGTGAAGTTCTCCCTTATGATAATACAGTGCCTGAGAATTTCTACAAAACCAAGAAGTTGTTGCGGGGAATGGGTTTACCAGTTGAAAAAATTGATTGTTGCAATAATGGTTGTATGTTGTATTGGGAAGATGATGCAGATGCTACGAGCTGCAAATTTTGTGGTCACGGTCGATTCAAGAGGTCAAATGGAGGGAAAAAAATGGCATACAAAAAGATGTATTATTTTCCCTTAACAGATAGATTGAAAAGGTTGTATGCCTCTAATGCTACAGCCAAAGAAATGAGGTGGCATGCAGAACATACAGTTGAAGATGGTGTTATGACACATTGCTCTGATTCTCTAGCTTGGAAGCATTTCAACAACACGCATTCAGAATTTGCAAAAGAGATTCGTAATGTGAGATTAAGCCTTTGCACAGATGGTTTCCAACCGTTTGCACAATATGGTGCACAATATTCTTGCTGGCCAGTGATAGTCACACCTTTGAACTTGCCACCATGGTTGTGCATGAAAGATCAACACATGTTCTTAACTGTGTTAGTTCCGGGCCCAAAAAATCCAAAAGATAAGTTGGACGTGTACTTACAGCCTCTCATCAAAGAGTTAAATCAACTATGGGATATGGGAGTTCAAACCTATGACATCTCGAAGAAGCAAAACTTTCAACTGGGAGCTGCTTTAATGTGGACAGTTAGTGATTTTCCAGCATATTCAATGTTGTCTGGATGGAGTACTGCTGGACGCTTAGCTTGTCCACATTGCATGGAGGACTCTGATGCATTTACTCTCTCCAAAAGTGGCAAACAATCTTGGTTTGACAACCACCGCAAGTTCTTACCTTTAGACCACTCGTACCGAAAGAACAAAACTTCATTCTTAAAAAATAAAGTGGTTACAAAAGATGCACCTCCTGTTCGAACGGGAGAACAAATACTAAAAGAGATACTCGATCGAGGCTTAATGAAAGTCACAGATATTGGCTCTGATGAGAACAATAGATCGAAATGCAAAAATTGCGGTTGGAGGAAAAGAAGTATCTTTTGGGACTTGCCTTATTGGAGTACAAATCTTATTCGACATAATTTAGATGTAATGCACATTGAGAAGAATGTGTTTGATAACATCTTTAATACAATTATGGATGTACAGGGCAAAACAAAAGATACGTTGAAATCACGCCAAGAGTTAAATGACTATTGTCGACGTCCAGAGTTGGCGAGAAATGAGGAAACATGTAAGTATCCCAAAGCCTGCTACACGTTGGATGCGAAAGGCAAAGAAGAATTATGCAAATGGGCGAAAGAGGTTAAATTTCCTGATGGATATGCCTCTAACTTGTCGAGATGTGTAGACATGAAGAAACGCAGATTCTTTGGCATGAAAAGCCATGATTGCCATGTGTTTATGCAAAGATTGATACCTATTGCATTTAAAGAATTACTTCCTTCAAATGTGTGGAAAGCACTTACCGAGTCGAGCCTTTTCTTTAGAGAGCTCACTTCCACTGTTATACGCAAGGAAGATATGGAGCGATTACATGCTGAAATTCCTATTATATTATGTAAACTGGAAAGGATATTCCCACCGAGCTTTTTCGACTCAATGGAGCATCTTCCTGTGCATTTGGCTTATGAAGCAATCATTGCTGGTCCTGTCCAATATCGTTGGATGTATCTATTTGAGAGGTGATTTAGCTTGCATGTTATCTGAATTAGTAAGTTTTATAATTGAAATTTCTCCTTATTAGAATTATAATTTAATGAAGGTACCTTCGAAAGTTGAAAGGGAACGTGACTAATAAAGCCCGAGTTGAAGGTTCGATATGCAATGCATATTTAGTTGATGAGGCATCATCGTTTTGTGAGTATTATTTTGAAGAACACGTGAGCACACGACATAGGAAACCACCACGCAATGATGCTGGTTGTTCACAGACGAAAGACCTCGAAGGAAGTCTTTCTGTGTTCAAGTTTCAAGGGCGATTTCTCGGAAGGGCAAAAGCAAGATACTTGACAGAAGATGAATACAATGCTGCCCGTAGTTACATCTTACTCAATTGCGTTGAGGTTGAACCATATATTAGGTTTGTATTCGTTCCACTTTAGTTTTTTCATTTAGTTAACACTATTAAACACATTATACATTTCATATGGCTAAATCCTCTCCAAAACTTTACACATGAAGTATATTTGTGGGTTCATTGAGGAGTCAACGAAGAAGCATCTCGAGAGAAGAAATTGATCAAAAACTTGAAAACGAATTTCCTGATTGGTTCGAGAAATATGTGAGTATTATCTTATCTTTACCTCTAAATATATGTAGTATACAATATGACACTGTTTAATATGAAAGTGTTTTTCTTTTGAAAAAAATAAATGTAGGTACATGATCCTTTGAATGGAATTACTAATGAATATATGCAAGACCTTGCTAAAGGCCCATTGAGAAAAATAAAGTCATATTCTGGCTACATGGTCAATGGTTTTAAATTTCACACTCTTGGTTGTGGTACTTCCAAAAGCACTATGAATAGTGGGGTGTGTATTAAAGGATCAAACTTCAGCGTTGAGAATGATTTTTATGGACGATTGGTCGATGTGGTTGAGGTTGGATATAATGGGTTCCACACCAACACAATAGTTTTATTCAAATGTGAATGGTTTGACCCCACTGCTCGAGGAATGAATATTCATAAAGACTACAAGCTGGTGGATATCAATCATAAACGCCGATTTGATAGGTACGAGCCTTTTATGTTGGGGATGCAAGCAAAACAAGTGTTCTTTTGTGAATATCCAGGTGCAAGTCGTGATAAACGAGATTGGTGGGCTGTGTGCAATGTTAAGGCAAGGGCTTTTGTGGAAGTTCCATTGTCAGTTGATAATAATGTTGAAATGCAAGTCACGCCACCTTACCAAGAAGATGAGAGAAGTGTCCATCGTATATGACGAACTGATATGGATGAAGTTGGACCACTCAATGATTCAGACGGTGTTTTTATAGAGATAGACGATGAGTTTGTCGAAGAAGAAGAAGAAGAAGAAGAACTTATAGTTGAATCAGAAATGGAAGACGACTTTGTATCGAATCTAAATGAAGATTTATATGATTCTAGAAGTGATTAGTGTATCGTAAGTTGTTTCTTGAAATTCTTTTAACTTTTGCGTCACAATTATATTTTTAGCTTTATTTTAAACAAAAACTCTATGGAACTAGTTATTGTGATGAAATTATAATTTAAATTAAGTACATATTCATGAATATGGAATTTTTTTGGCTTTAGTAGTTTGTGTAAAGTATTATTAGAATTTATTTGTAGTTATCGATAGCATGAGAACCACAACAAGGGGCGGAGGTCACAAGACTCTTGAAGCAGCATTACGGGCATCTCAAGAAGATGATTCTGATGAAGATTTCGATCAGACTCCATCACAGCATGGACAGAGAGGTGGCCTTGTACGACGAGGAGGTAAATAATAACATAATTTGTCAATTAAATTTGTAGATCAAATTCATTTATTTAATTTTTTTCCAGATAAAGTTTAATTGATATGGTAAATGTTTTATAGGACATACATCTAGGTCGAGCATGCCAAATCGTTTGCCATCACCTCCGTCAGGTATACTATATTATAATGCGATTAAAGTTTGCTTTTTAGTAAATATAGATATTTAGATTTTTTTAACAAAACTTCTAACTTTATACAATGGTTAAATTGATGATTTTTTGTTCATGTATGATATGATTAATGTTTATAGAAAATAGGTCACGAATGCTACTGCGTCCACCATTATTTACTCCACCTGGTCCTTTGCATGGTGCGGCACCATTGACATTAGATGCACCATCAGGTATCTATGGTAAATTGGAAATGTAGTTTTATTAAACGTGCATATTCAATAAATTCCTGTTAATGTGAAATTGTTACAAATTGCTTTATATATAGATAATCTATTGCATGATGTGCTACCATCGCCTACCATTTCACCATCTCAATCAGGGAGCATGCTATCTGCATCATCCTCGGTTTGTTCTAGTCTTATGTGTCGTATACCAGTTGAAATTGAATCTGATGAAAGGTAATCAAAATAGACTAAGTATTATATGATCGTGATTTTTACAACATTATGCCATTGTAGTTCTAGCCAAAAAATTAATTTAATTAAGCAAAACATGTATGACAGGTTGTATCCAGGTAATAAAGTTGCAAAATGCATGAGAGATCTTTTCAAGGAAAAGCTTTGTCCACAGGGTTACACATGGTCTAAAGTGGCTACTGAAGTAAAGGATTGGTATTGGGATTCCTTTAAGGTTAAACTTTAATAACTTAATTGTTCTGTACAAATTTATTGTTTATGAAATTTTTGTTCGTCTATTTTCTATGCACAAATAGTATTTAGAAGTTATACAATTCTTGTTTTTATGTGAATCAATACATTTTTTTTGGTTGAATTATAGAAATCATTCGCATTTCCATCCGAAATGGAGCAAAGGATTCATGATGTTTGGTCGCGACATGCTGGGTTAAAGTATTCTGGGTTCTTGTGGAGATTGAGGTCAATGCGTGAGAAACCCGACTTTGTGGCCAAGACCGTTTGGGATTCATTTTAGAAGGAGTGGAAAACATCTGAGTTTCAATTAAAGGGTCGAAAGATGTCTAATAATCGTAAAAGCGAGGTGAATGGTCCAGGATCGGGGATATCTGTGCACACTGGAGGTTCTAAGTCTGCTTATGCATATGCAAAAGAAATGGTAAAGTTATTATTATATTTTTTTTCTTAATTAAAAATGTTTTTTCATAATTGGACAAATATGATTATTCATTTTAAATCTTATTTCTTGTAATGTTATAATTTTCAGACTGAAAAGTTAGGAAGGACTCCGACTAATATAGAGGTTTATAAAGCCTTACATTGGGATAAGAAAAATAACAAATGGAGAGATGTTCGTTCTGAGAAAGTTGCGGTAAGTACCTTGATTTCATCAATGTTTTGTAAATACAAATTATTGCATAGTTGATGAATATTATTTCTCTCTCTCTTTCTCTCTCTCTCTCTCTCTCTCTCTCTCTCTCTCTAT